TGTGTGTGTGTGTGTGTGTGTGTGTGTGTGTGTGTGTGTGTGTGTGTGTGTGAGAGAGAGAGAGAGAGAGAGAGAGAGAGAGAGAGAGAGAGACCGGTTGAGACAATTTTTTTAATTTGTTTAAACATTTTTCCTGAAAAGATCATTGACCAAATCTACGGACCCTCAAATTTTCAGACTTGTTTACGAGTTCTTTTGAGCGTGAAAAATCTTTGAAACAGGGGTACTTTTCCCGTTGGCCCACTAGTTGTCGTGTGCCAAAAATGGAAAAAGTGACGAATTGGCGCGGCATTTATTTCATGGTCTAAACGATTTTATTTTATTTTGTTGATATTTTTCCTGGAAAGATCACGACCTGGCTACCCGATATCAAATTTGCAGATCTTTTTTCCAATTATTCTGCGTATGAAAAATCGCCAAAGTTGGCGCTCGGAAATTGCAAGATTGGACCCGCATGCGCCTTCCAGTCGAGAGGGAACGGGTGCGCCCGGCACCGTTTCGATTTTTCGACCAAAGGGCCTGCGTCCATGACGTTTCACATTCGAAAATCAAGGCCCTAATGCCACGGGCAGCTACCGGTCCTGCACTTGCTTGAACTGCCCCCCCCCCCTAAATGCCAATGCCTTTCATTTTACCAGCCTTTCAACGACCTATGGGCCCGAATGAACGACCGGTATAACGAAGTTTAAGGACGACGACGAAAAAATGTCTCAGGGCACGCTCACACTAGGTACCAAATCCCCATTTCCCCCCAAAAAAAAGGTTCACGGACAGTCACACATGGTGAACATCTGCCCAAATTCTCAAAAGGGGTGACCATTTGTCAGCGGCCTGCGAAGCCGCGGGGGAAGGAAATTTGCGGTAACCTCTGGAGGTTACCGCAAATTCTCAAATCTTTTTCCGAATTCTGTGCAAAATTGGAGAAAAAATGAAACCCCACGATATTAGCGGCCTATCAATTGACGAAAAGGAGATTTGGGGAAATGGGCGCACGCGCGGAGCGGTCAAACGCGCGTGGCCCTTTTTTTGTTTCCATCCCTTGTTGATCCAGTTGTCGTTAGCCTGCCGTGCGGCTTTCATCGTTATTTTCGCGTTGAAGAACTGGGCGTTACGTTTCCGTGTCCGCCTCCAACCCCTTGCGCGCATGTTTTCACATGCCTTGCGCCCGTGTTCCGCTGGCTTCCCCGCTTCTCCGCCCTCTTCCCCCCAGTTCCGCCCGCTGTTTCTTGCTGTGTCCCCTTGTCCCGAACGGACGACGAAGGATCGATTCCCTTCAACTGTATTCCAATTTCTGCCCMTGGCCCATGTGTTTCGTTGCTTCRCTGCAAGGCCGATGAATGTATGTGGGTCGGAAGTGGCTTCAGATGAACTGTAGTTGTCTGTGTGCCGTCCACAACCCCAAAGCCCCATAGCCCGGTGGTTGTGCCTGGTCCCAAACCAGATGCACGAAGCCTAGTCAAAGCTGTATCGAGAGAAAAAAATAAATTGTAAAGAATCTGGGTCGAACACGGGTAGAGATGCATGAAAAAAAAATAATAAAAATCAAATAAAATCCTGTTATCGATTCCGCTGTGCACTTCATGTATATGCCTGAAAAAAGGGTCCACGTGCATTCAAATTGTATGTGTCCCGTTGTGCATTTTTGTTCGCACGAGGTGAAGCTGGTCTGTTTTTTGTTTGGAGACCCAAGGGATTCCTCCCTGCTCCAGCAGCAGGGATTGTCGCCATCGCCGTGACATGRCGACAACTACTARCGTTTCATAGCGTCRCTGTTGTCACTGCACACCGCACGAGCTCTGCCATGGCGTCCTGTGTGTACTTTCTTTCACGGAAATAAAAAAGCGTTATTTTGGAATTTCGTTTTTTTCTTGTTTATRTTTGTGTTTTTTTTATGTTTGTGTATTTCAGKTTTKTTTCCTTTTGTATTCGCTGTTGAAGTCACATCCATGCACTATCATCCGAAAATTATGAGGAAAAAGGGGGAAAAAAAAACGAGTAATCCCACGTCATTCACTTTGCCTTTGTGTCTCTTTCCTTGCCACGTTTGGATTGTGAGCGGGCAGATGTGTGCTTCTGTGGCCACTCGTGTGGTAGATGGAAGACTTTTTTTTTTTTTTTTTTCCCTTCGCCTCTACTGTCGCACCCCACGTTGGTTCACATGGTGAGTCCTGGATGCGTGAACGTGCTCGCGGCTGACGAGTATCGCGAAGTGGGGGGGGGGGGGGGGGGGGGGGGGGGGGGGGGGGGGGGGGGGGGGGGGGGGGGGGAGGGGAGGGGAGGGGGGATGGTGATCGGGCATGTTCGCACTGTTGAACATGCAGGCTGCCCGTTCGTATGCTTCGTCCTGCATATGGTTTAACAGCCAGTCTCTCATCGTCATCCCCCGTCGAAAATGGGGTTTGCGGGGATAATCGGGCATGCAGGAGTGGCGGGAGGGAGTTCATGGGTGCATGGCGTATACGTGATTCACCATCACGAATTTTTCAATTGTCTTTTTGTCCGGCTTTATTGTT